TGATTACACTTTGTCGAGATATCCATTCATCGCATCAAAGAAGATCCAACCTAATTATGTAAAACTTTCGATGAATAAAACTGATTGGCCTAAGATACAAATATTTATACCCTAAAATTATCCAATTATACGGACATAATGGCGATAAAATACAATACAAAATATACAATACAAAAATGCCAATAATAATTTTTGATTGACTCCAGTCCGACGTGTTGTGGTTTCTATTTCCTTCAGTACGAATTGTCATCCATCTTATGTTCAAAATTAAAAAAAATATCAAATGAAATAATATTTTAACTGTTAAGAATATCTTTTGATTTCTTCAGTCTGATTTTTTATCAGGATAAACCATGGAACCTAGCCTATTCATAAAATTGTCCCAAGGATCGACATAATCGTAAAGAATTTAGTAATCGACCATTCGAATGACCCCACATTAGATGTGGTCAGATGTGAAAAGGTGGCATTGGGGCGTCTAGCCCAGATCAATTCCCACCCAATGAATTCTGCGCTTTACAAATCTGCAGGAAATACTCTCTTTCTACTATTGCCGCACCGAGCATTTTTAAGGAGAATAAGTCTAATTTTCTACTAGGTCTTTTTGCTAATAGTTTGTCAAATAAATGAAGTAAGTATTGAATAATGATGATTAATGTGTGTAATGTACGTAACACTGTTGAGCAAAGGCCTCGCTATTGCGAATTTACTCTAATACAGTATGTAATTGATTAATTCATCGTTTTTATTACTTTAACATACGGTTTATTTACGCAGCTTTCATCACCTAGAAACTTGTTATAAACTGCACTAAATGTTGTTAGATAGTTTTCCATGGTCTGTCTCCTGGAGAACTTGCTTGATTATACTGAATTAATAACATAGCATTGATCTATTATCTTATTTACAATGGAAAAACTCTCGTAGGGAAACTAAAAAAGTATTATTCTCCATAATAAGGTTTAAAAGTCACGCTTTATTGTAGTCAACAATTTAGGTTACGATCTTTTGTATAGAGAAACATGAACTGGTCCCGATTATAATCCATTTCATTATAACTGGAGTACCTATCTTAAGTGCAGTCGCATAATGAGAGCATTAGAGAAAATGTTATTACGGCAAACACTCATTGAAATGGAATTCGCGACGCTACTGGAAAATATTGAAGTACCAGGATTCCTTTTTGTGTTGCGTTAGAAATTCTTATGTTGTTAATATACTTTTTTATCTTGCTTTTTATAGTTTTTATTAAGGACGTCAAAGAAATAAATTGCAAGATCTTCATTTAAAATTTTGGCATGTAAGGTAATAAGAAAGGTCACAGAATTAGGAAAATATAGTACGAATGTTTCTTACTTTCTACTGTTGCAACCTAATGCTACGCAGCAGTTTCTACCTTAGTTCATTTAGGCCCGTCCGGAGAATTACCACGACATTTTTAGGATTATTTTTTATTTTAGTGCTAATCTCTGCACTCGAGGTGAAATTTTACTAAAGCAAAAGCTTTCGGCGCTGCGAGATTCGAGCCTGCGTCTTCTGATTTTGCGCCCAACTATACACAAATATTTACACTTTAAAGTACCACGACCTTCCTTACGCAAGACCGGTCTAAAGTACTGGCAGTAAAATACTTCAGCTTTTCATCTGGTAGGTGAGGTAACCGGGTATTCTTCTTATGCTCGATACCGCGGCTACAACTATTTAGGTGCTGTAGTTTTCCATGGGTTCCAGCAGTTCCCACCTCCTCACGAAATAAGGCTTTTCATTTTTCAAATGATACCAGATATTCAGGCCACAGTATGATATGTTAAACCTAATCTAATGATGAAATCAGATAGAGGGGTACTGGCATTGTGTTAAGTTACTGTTTTGTATCAAGTATTAAGTAACTAGTGTAACACAATAGCAATCTTATTCTCCTCGCATTATAGGCAATACCTATTCACACGGTATCGGCCCAAAATTCACTGTCACATGAATTGCACTGTCAGCAGCATTCGTCAGGTCCTCCTGCGTGCAGTTGGTTGGGCACGCAGGGCACGACGTTAAATGTTCCATGGTTTGGGGAACAGCACCACATTTGCACTCCAAGCTGGAACGCTTTTCTTTACTTCGGCCAGCTTTCGTCCGAAGTCTATTTAGTGACTTCCAAGTCAGCCATGGCAACTCATGTCCAGGCGGTAGTTTCTTAGACAGTGGGACAAAGGGGTTAGGGACATTGACACTTTCTTGCCACAGCCTGCATTTTTCCTTCGATCGGTCACTATCGTGAAGAGGAGACACACACTTAACGAAACTACTGCAAATTCAAATTCAAACTACTAACTACTACCTACTAACTAATACCAATGATAAGATTAGATACATTACGTATTTTAAGTAAACGGCAATCCTCTCTACTTTCATAGTGATTAATTTTACCGACTTTATTCGGTTCGTTCGATTATTTTGCGAATTTTATGACATTTTTTTTTTAAATATGTTTGTCTCAAGACACTTTTATTTCGCGGTAATGTTCATTAGTAAAATTCAAAATATTTATGTGGACTCGAAACACGGTTTGTATGTACAAATAACTTTGTTAAGTTTATTTTTATATTTGTATAAAAGCAGAATATTATGCAGCAACTCTATTAACAAAATAAAACTTTCTTCTTAGTTAAAACTCCATGAAATGTGGAGAATTCTCGAAATGCTTAGATCTTTATGCATTTGCAACAACTCTAAGGCGAAGAAGCAGTTATGGAAATTTGTATACAATTTTACGGGACATTTTAAACAGAACGCATACATACAGACATTTTAAACGCATGTTTCTTCTAGGTAAACTCTACTTTTCCCTTCCCTGCTTGTTGCATTAACGTTGAATTGGTAATGCTTTTTAATTTTTAAACCACTTAAACTGTATCTTAAGTTATTTTTTTCCATTATTTTAATTTAGATTGTCAGAAACTAAATAAACTAATTTAATGTAACATACGTAACTTCATTGTACAAAAGTTCCACATAGCTTATCAAGTAATAAATTAATTGCTTTATTGATTTTTTTTTAAAACGGATAGAAGGCATTGGTAAGTGATCACCGCCGCCCACGGACATCTGCAACACCACAGGGCTTACAAATGCGTTGCCGGCCTTTCAGGAAAAAATATTCTCTCTTCTTGATAGTTCCCAGGTAGTAAAGGTTCTTTCGGATAGACCGCCGGCGACAACTAATTCCTCAGTGTGGTTACGCGAGGCAGAAAATGCCTTAAAACTGGCAAATTACTTCGATGTCAACGGCTTGTTGCAAGTACGTTGCCACCTTTAAAGCGGGCCCCGACTACCTCACTCACCAGACGAAACGCGTAAGTGTAACTTTACGCCGGTCTTCTGTGAGGTCGTGGTACTAACCCGGACGAGCCTGCCCATTCGTGCAACAGCCGAGGCTGCTGCGTTCGGCACAACATTTGAATCATGTTGTTAACGGTTTTGTCTATGTTTTTTACGACAGAACGCCTGCCTGACGTCAACATTGCATGGGAAACAAACGCTCAGATTCGGAACTTATCTGTTGGTTACATAAATACTAAGTCCTGTGTAGGAATCGAACGCACGACCCCGTAGCCGAAAAATTGTAAAATGACATCACAATATTAAACTTTTTCAGACATCTCTTCCATTCTGAACCTAATGTCTTAGCTCATGGAAAAGTAGATAGCATTAATAATCCTTACACCTTCGGACGCGTAAGCTTGAATTGGGTTATATGTTCCACTGAGGTCATGACTAACGTCTTTATGTTTGCAAAAACCTCATAAGTTGCCACACAAAAATAATATTTGATAAAACGCTTTAAGACTAAAGTTTTTCATTGAGTATAAGACAAAGTTGTGTCTCTAGAGGCAAGTCACAAACGAGTTTCCCTTTGTTTTCATCACAGTCGAATTTTCTTCAAACTGGTTAATCTGGTAACGAAACGTAGAAAGTTTTGTTCCAATAGATATTGTATATTTTATATAATATATGATTTATATATTTTAAGACTTTTCATTATAACTAAATGTTAACTATTAATTTAACATTTTTCCTTTTCATAAATTTTCTTCTTAAATTGATATTTATTATAGACCGTTAAATCTTTTAATAAGGGATACCGCGACATAGCTTTCGAGGTCCAGTTACGATATTTATACGCGATGCTTACCTTACACACAAAGTACAAGAATTTTTAGTAAAAAAACAAAACCGCCTTCAAATATATCGGTCTGTATTCATTTTATAATTTATTTTCAGGAATTCCCTAAGCATCTCCGGAGCTCAACATCCAATATTAATGAAAATAATATGGGACCACATGGGAAGCACCAGCTTTTAAATAAAGAAAGAATCATCAAAATCGGTTTACCCAGTTGAAAGTAAAGTTGAAAAAACTTTTAGTAAATACTATCTGTAAATTTACCATGTATCCAGACCGGTATGTTCGCTACGAAATAAAAAAAAATACTTAGGAAATTGGCGTTTCATTCTCTTTGGATGCGACACACGGCTAGGTTGCTCCGTGTAATTACTCGCTAACAAATAACATTAGTGGAAGTAAAGGAAAGATACTACTTTACTAACGGCCTGGAAACGTACGTAATTGAACATGGCGTACATTGCAATTACTCTTCTTCTAGCACTGGACGAAAATTGTATGCAATTCCAAATATAGTTTTTGACATTAATTAATGATCTTTAATAAAGATTAAATAAAATTTATATGTTCCTTCTTCAATGTTCTATCTCCAGATTTGGCTACTTGGAGATTGCATTTTCAAAAACCTAAAGCTGGTAATCAAATCTACAGATAAGAGCAAGCTCAAGTAAGATCAAGTATTAGTGCTTAAATAACGAATAATAAACTTTCTTACGACGAAGTTTGTAATAACAACTTAAAATGATTAAAACAATATATTTATTTGCGTTATAAGAACATCAGAAAGTGCAATAAATAAATATGTTTTGTAGTCGCAACTTTAAATTGGTAAGATTGCCGGGGCATCCCCCTTTTTGGTCTCCTGCGACGGCTGTGCTTTGTCCAACTCTTTTTTGCCTATCTTTTGATCGTTTGCAGGGCTGGATATGAGGCATTCGATGTAGGAAGGCGGCTGATCTCTGATTGCTTGCGCCTTCTCCGCTCTCAGCGTTCTTATGTAGTTGTTGATTATTATCAAAAAGGTAGCGGCGATACCTACAATTTAAAAAAGAAAAGTATCAGTCTATACATGTTCCATTGCTGGGCAAATGCCTCTGTAAAGAGAGTATTAGTTCATAGTCTACGGTAGGTAGTCCACCGGGGATCGAACTCGGGTTGCTCGAGTTATTGAATTAAAAACAATGAGTTATCACGGCTCTATAATTTAGATCAAAGTCGAATCCAAATGTTGTAACATTTAAAGTTGTTTTACGTTCCTTTGAACGTCAAAATCTAGTACCTGATCCGGGTAAAACTGATGTAAAAATTACTATGTAATCAATATCGCCATTTAGTCAGACTGAACAAAAAAACATTTGTATAACGAAGAAGCAAGTATAGAGAGAATTAAGCAAATTGAGTGTTCTTAAATGTTTGAAAATTTATGCATCCGCTGTCATCACTCTGGCAATCGGGGTTGTGGTTAGTGACATCGAATTTATCTGGGGTTTTAAGTTGCGTGTGCTTCTCACTTTAGCATTTAAAGGATTCCTTACGTGTGAAACCTTGACTTTTATTCTCCCATGTGTCTTCATGACCGATCTCTCCACCAACTTATTACTGTTTCATTATTAAATAAATTCACTTACAAATATCCAGGAGCTGCAAGAACCAGAACGCATCGGACGCCCGAGCGCGGAAGTTCGGTTGGAACACGAGATAAAACACTTGCAGTGTGAGTTTAACTATCGACAGGCCGAAGAACATTCGCATTTGTTCTGGGTCTTTCTGTAACAAAAACGTCAATTTTGTTCCCAGCGACGCCGCAATACAACTTCGCTATATGGCACTAGTGCTCGTAGCCATATTACGTGGTATGACTAGTGATTTCAACTATCTTAACACAAACTATGTTAAACTATTTTAACGTAAGGGATGTCTATCCTTCGGTTTCTTATACTAGTAACAGTTTGGCCGTAATGTTGGCCACAATTAGGTAAAGCATTGTACGCGGGTAATAAGAATATTGCAATCTTAAATTGACCTTTACTTTACTACGATTTTAAGATTAGTAAAATTATCGTATACAATGTGCGTATACAATGTTCTTTTGGAGTAAATTTAAAAACTCTGTTACCTAGTAGTTTGGCTTTTTGTAGAGTGTAACATTTACTTAAAGTGTAATATTTAATTAGAGTTTACTTCTCAAATATACTAATGGAAAAGGATATTATACTAAATATTAAATATATGTATAATGTATGTATCTTCTCGTCGAATATACCTCAATGTTTGAAGACTAAAGTCTTCAATCAATGTGTGTTGCCAGTGATGACCTACGGAACCGAGACGTGGTCCTTCACTGCTGGCCGTATGAGGAAGCTCAAAGTCGCTCAGCGAGCTATGGAGCGGGCTATGCTCGGTATTTCTCTGCGTGATAGAGTTCGTAACGAAGACATCCGCAGTAGAACCAAGGTAACCGACATAGCAGGATTAGCAAGCTGAAGTGGCGATGGGCCGGCCATATAGCTCGTAGAACCGATAACCGTTGGGGAAGAAAGGTTCTCGAGTGGCAGCCTCGTACTGGCCATCGCAGTGTAGGACGACCCCACACTAGATGGAGTGACGACCTGTGCAAATGTGCGGGAAGTCGATGGATGCAGGTGGCTCAGGATCGTACTTCGTGGCAGTCTGTGGGGGAGGCCTATGTTCAGCAGTGGACTCAAACAGGCTGAAATGATGATGATGATGATGATGATAATGTGTAATGTGTAATTATTTATAAAAGAAAAGTATGTTTAAGTATGTCTATCAGTTTTCTAGTACCCATAGTACAAGCATTGCTTAGTTAGGGATTAGAGAACGTTGTGTAAAAAAATGTGTCCTAAAATATTTTTTTTTTGATAGGGCCACGAAACAGAGTACGCTGTTGCAGGAATGGGCATATCTGTACAAGTAAGTACCACGACCTCGTAGAAGACCGGTGTGACGGGAATTGGACGTGTTATACTTCTGCGTTTCTTCTGGTGTGGGAAGTGGTCCGGCCCATTATTATTAAAGGGTGGCAACGCACCTGCCACTCTACGGGTATTACAAATGTCCATGTGTGGTTATAACTTATCATCAAGTGAACCGTCAGCTCACTTGTCACATTCTCAAATAAAAAAAAATGACTGAAACGAAAACCTTAACTATTCCAGTGGTCAAAAACTGAAATTAGAAATTGCATTGCTATTACTCTTACACTTACCCACTACTGCCGCACAATGTTTTACGTACATATATCACATTTATGCTTAAGATGTTCCAACGCAGTTGAAAAATTGTCACAAAAGATCTTTGTCGGTTGAAACGTTTTCTTGGTAATTTGGATTGGTTAAGAAAGCAGTCGATTTTAGAAGGTAACATCCATGATACCGATTAGAATACGGAAAACTTGATGTTCTCATGTTAAATGAAAATATTTTTATGAAAATTCTGCACTTTAAACCTCTATTGACCGCTACGATAATTTTATTAAAAAAAATTGTGTACATTATTCAGTGAAACTAACTTTGAATTTATAACGAATGTTACAGGTAACGCCAACACTACTGCTTGCAAAAGCAAGCTATAGCATAATTTCAAGTAATAATTAGACTAGTGTCCTACCTTATGCACGGCAGAGATAAACGAAATGACTAGCCTCAACCATATGACGTTTATCAAGAAATTGAGGACGTCAATCAAGTACACGTGCAGCATCCCTGGGTAGCATTTGGGCTGTATCACTGTTGGCTCGGAGTACGCGCTGTTCACAGGTGACAGGATCATCGGAAACGGATAAAAGCCGTGCGTTCCCAAGTTGATGAAAATCAAAAGCGGCGGAAACCACGACATGTCTATTTTGAGGAGCTGGAATGATTTGGAAAGGCCTGATTAGACATTTTTCAAACTTTCTATTCTATGAAATTAATACATTCGGCCAACTTTCTGAGTTAGATAAAATGTGCTTACTGAATTGCAAGTTATGAAACAAAGGTTTGTTTATTTAAGAATTTGACTCCGCGGCGCAGTTGTCAAGGGTCGGGGGCCGTGAGTTCGATTCCCACACGGGACAACTGTTCTGTGCGTTCCACAGATTGTTTCGCATCTGTGTGTTTGTCCGCGTGAAATTTATGTTTGTAAAAACGTCCTTACAACACCGGATATTGTTATCCTAAAGTAAGGCCAACAATTACAAAAAAAAAGAATGTCCAGAACGCCAGCTATCAGCTGCCCGAAAAGAATATTCGCGTCCAAAGTTAATTATCATTTTCTCTCTTATCTCCTCTCGCAAAAATGAGCTACATTTCTTGCTGCGCTTGAACATCTTGCTGCACCTACCATACGCTCTTACTACAATCTGGGTTGACCGGTAGAGGTATCTCCGCTATTTGTTATCTTTCTTTTTGGCTACTTAGGTACTCGAGCTACCTGAGTTCGATCCCCGGTGCCGGCACCAATGCTATTTTTAATTTTAAGTGCTGACTTTGCAAGTGCTCAGCGGTGAAGTAAAAAATCGTGAGGAAACCTGCTTATTTTCGAAATAATTAGAAAAAAAAAACAATTTAGAAAATACGTGGTCCCCCAATACGCAGTGGGGTCGCGTGGTAGACTATGTTACCCTCTGTTGCCCTGTTACCCTCTGTACAGAGGAGGCCTTTGCCCAGCAGTGGGACATTTATACGCCGTTACTTTACTATTGTAATTTTATTTAAGGCTGGCATTAAACTAAAATTAATAAAAATGCCGAGGACCAAACATTGCTTTTGCTTAATAAAAAAAAATTGACCAGTGTGTACATTAAATCCCCAACATGGAGTTGAAAAGTTTTCGTTTCAATAACAAATGTCATTAATAGTCAATTAACTGCACTTTCTCTTGTTATTTTTGATTTTGTTTTGTACATTGTATATTAGTTAAAAACTAGGAACCAGTGAGATGCGTTACATTTTGTTGAGTAATGAACGGTACAGTTTTCCTGTCTGATTTCTGCTTAAAAGCAATTCGGCGCGTAAATCATGTTTTGACTTACGTTGTTGACGTCCATATCGCATTGGAAGCCGCTAGTGACAATGGAGACAAGCAGCAAGTGGCATCCGATGTCAAACAGACTCGATAGCTAGAATGTAAACAGAACCGTACATGTGGTATGCTCGGACATAATTATTCCCCGGTAAGGAATTATCACCTGCACAGTGTCGTATATTTTTTTACGTCCAATTAGTCTCAGTTTAAACTCCCATGACTTTTATTGTAGCAGTAAGCTCGGATAGCATCTAATCCCGAAAGGTGGAAATATTATTATTTGGCAATATTAAAAATTCTTTATATCATATAAATATCTCAATTTAATTAAGTGTTACTCATGTGTGCTGAACTTAGGCGGACAGCACCCTTTCTGTGGCAATCACATACAAATTTTTACTCCAAGTTAATATGTTTTTAGTTAAAATCAAAATACGCTTCGTGTCCCTGCTAGGCTTTAAGGAGTAAATGCAAAAATGGAGTTAAAATAAAATGTTATATATAGATAGGTGCTATTCGAAATAGGGTTTTAAGATAAACTTTGCAAGTGGGAGACATCTTCATGGATTCCTTTATCAATATTTCATCCTTACCAAATGCAAATATCCGATAACAAGACATTTTGCTCGACCAGAGAAACAGGAACATTTTTTTAGATCCACTTGCATTTTAGAACTGAAATAAAAGAAAGTGATTACAGTATTTGGTACATATTTCCGGTTTGAAAAAAGTAGATAGCGATAATTTTTATGCCTTGCTGATAGAATAACAATGTATGCACTCTTTCACAACAATTTTTCAAAAGAATTTTTCTTTCAGAGTATTCGCCTTAAACCATCAACTAAATGTTTTCGCGATTTTCTCTCTACAAAAATCATTTTGAGTGCATAGACTAGCACTAAAAATAAAAATTAATCATAAAAATTGGCATATTATTTTATTTTTATGCTTTATTTCTTAATTTTAAATCTATCTAAAGTTACATATTATTTAATAAACCTAATCCACGCGGCATGGTGCCAAGAACGCTAGCTGCATTTCCTCGCTGAATAGTCATGCTTAACCTTTGAGCGAGAAAAGAACCAGCTCTCTTCTCACCAGCCGCGGCGTTAAGCCTAGGACATAAACTTTTAAAAAATTTTGATGTGCGGGGACCCCACGGACCTAACGTTTCAACAGCAAATGGCACAAATACATAATCTAAACATAAAGACTCATATTTGCGCCATTTACTTTCTTAATTAGGTAGATTCTTTGTTATAATAAAAACAATGTTGTAAAGAATGGATATGATTTGAGGACAGTAATCATCATCACCGTAATCACCGTCATTGTAACCTATTATGGTCACTGCTGAACATAGGCCTCCCCAACAGACTGGCACGAAGCACGATCCTGTCTTCCCGAGCCATCTGCATCCATCGACTTCCCGCACATTTGCACAGATCGTCACTCCATCAGTATGGGGTCGTCCTACACTGCGATCGCCAGTATGAAACTGCCACTCGAGAACCTTTCTTCCCAATCGGTTATCGGTTCTACGATATATAAGTAATACGATCTATATGACCAGCCTATTGTTATTTCAGCTTACTAATCTTCATAGCTATTTGAGTTATCTCTGTTCTTCTACGGATATCCTCGTAGCGAACTCTATCGCGCAGGGAAATACCGAACATATCATGGAGCGCCATATCTCACTGAGCTACTTTGAGGGCAATAGCATAAATTTATGAAAATAAAAAAATAACTTCAGTCTTGCCTTTAAGCAAATTATGGATCAATGGAGAAGCCACAACATCTAAAATGTCTTACTTTATTATAAGATTGTCAGGCAGTTCAATTGACAAAATTTTTGTAGTAATCATTATGTCCGTAACTGTTACAGTCAATAGAAAAAAATCAATTAACCTGTAGCTATTAAGAAGGTCGTTTAAAAATCATTTAAATCAGTCAATTATCCGGTGGTGAACAATGTTTCGATTACGTCATTACAAAATATAATTACACTTTAAAATGGCTCTTTAATGTTATCAATTTAACAATCACAGTTCTAGACTTTGTATCGTAATAAATGCATAGAAATTCCTGAGTATTATGCTGTATGCACAAATACAGATTTTTCTGTCAACAAAGTTTAATTAAGCAAGAAAATATGTTTATTAAAAAAAAAATCAATATGCATTCCTATACAATATTAAAAGACACAATATTAAAGAATTTATACTTATGTTTTGATTAATTATCGTAAATTAACAAAGCCATATTGTAACACAGTCATGTACAATACGTAACATTATTTATATATAATTATACTAGGTTTTCGTCCGCGGCTCCGCCCGCGTTAAAACCCTTAAATAAATATCTTTATTTTAATAAAAAGAATCTTCTGTCGTTTATAACAACACCTCGAAGAATATGTGTACAAAGTTTCATGATAATCGATTGAATGGTTTTGACGTGTAAGTTTGTTACGACAAACCAATATACATTCACATTTATATTATAATAATAAATATATAGGGTTTAGGGATATATATGTATAATATGGTTAATATAATAATGGTAGATATAATAGTTAATGAAAACATTATTAATTATTGCATTTAATGAACAACTATGACGATTATATCATGATAACTTCCGTTGTAACATTAAAATCTGTTTCACATATCATCAATAGAAAACACTCGCTTTGTATATTCCCATGGTATTTCAATAGCAAAGTAATCGTGCTTCAAATTAAATTATATTCTTATGAATATAACGTTAAAACAACACCAAATTTTATTTATTAATATTCATGCATGAAAACTGGATAAGGCGTACGTACTAAGTATAGTTGAATGCAGTTTGTAATCGTGTTTGAATATTAATTGTAACGAATAAGAAATTTAATCATCACAGAGCATCACGTCGAAATATCTTACCTTAACACTGTTTGTCGTGGACCGCAACAACAATAACGCTATAGGCAAAATAGAAACACTGTGTGATAGATTGTTTTCGCCAAGAATCCGACGCGGACACTGCGTCATTCACCGCTTAACTAGCGCTCGCGCATCGACTTACTGAGAACGCATTTGTGTTGTATCGGTGTTTGCAGCTGCAGAATGAATAAGGGCGAATGTGTGCGTAAGTCTCGGAAAGCCCCGAACGTGCGCCGTTCAAGGAAATTGTAACGACAACGATGTTTCATTAGTATTGCCGGTTTCGTTCGGAGTAAATAGACGGTTCATGAGCGAAAAGCCGACATGAATACGGAAAAATCAAGCAGAATAATATACGTCTTTGTTTCTACTTGGAGCAAGACGCCATCTTCCAGCGGCTTGCGCAAACATTTTGATATTAAGTATAAACATCGCATAGTGATCAGAAAGTGCTAATTGCATAATGTTATTAGTTGATAGAGTCCCTTATTTAACGAAAAGGACCGTGAGTCATTATTTATGATAACAGAAGCATGTGTGAAGTAGTATGTTCATGAAATTGGTAGTGTAATTTTTAGCAATTAGAATTAAATATGCAAGGACGGTAAATGTCTGTGTTCGTGGAATTTATTTATTAATATTACTAAAATGATTTGTCATTTCTTTTTTTTTTCTAGATCATTCTTTTTTTTTAAATATTATGTTCTAGGTTCAATAATTTAATGTTTTACTTTAGTGCCTTTTAGAGTTGAAATATTTTCAAAGTATGTTTTTGAGTATATTTAGAAGACTTAAATATAGTAATCCATTAAATTACTTAACCAAAAAAGAAATTTTTGGATGGGCGCATAAGTACTTAATTTTATTATTGGCTGGTTCAACCACTGTTAAAAAGATATTCCCTTTCGCTCCTTTTCAACTGTTACATAATCATATCATCATCTGTAACATTCCGACGTATTATGAATACGGAGCGTTCTCGATCCCTAAGGGGGAGTCTGACGACGCATTCGTTTCTGATGCAGGAAGCAAGAAATGGTTTACAGGTCACTAGTTTGCGCGTTTTTTAACCAAGTTTCCTTTGTTGAATATTAGTGTCTACGCATTTACCACGTTTAATTATATTTACAACCCCAATATTTTTCGTCCTTTGCCGTCAAATATAGCATGATTTTCTCAGTAAGAAATAAGGAAGACTGAGAAAATTAGTTGTAATTTAGAAGAAAAAGCGAAGCCGTTGAAAACCGATCATTAATTAAATTGTGTTACATGAAACTATTTTAGGCATTTAATTGTATTTCATTTTGGTTACCACACGGTACATACTGTAGAGTTGGAATTATTACTTCGTTAACTCTGTCGACCCGATCATACTCTTATATGCATTGCATCCCATAAGGTTGAATTAAATTTTATTAAATGCAAGATCCTTAAATGCTGGTGATAATATTATTTACTTATTCCAATAGCCTCGTTAATTATCCATAAAGGAGTTCGGTATTTGTTGACGAGGAGGCTTTTTGGTTAATCAAATCTTGTATAAAATGATTATACAAGATTTGATTAACATGTTGAGTAATATTTTATTTAGATTAATAGCATAACTATTCAGCGAGGAAATGCAGCTAGCGTTCTTGGCACCATGCCGCGTGGATTAGGTTTATTAGATAATATGTAATTTTAGATAGATTTAATCCTGTTTAATTTGATAACAATATGTTTAAGGCGGTCTATTGTTTGATCCAAACTGCAAATTTTCTTACCCAGCGATGATTCACATCATCTATACGTCTTTATATTCTGCAAATCAGCGGTGGTCACATAGCGGATAATGCCTGTGACCATACGTTGTTCAGTAAAAATAAATTGTAAGTTAAGTATGAACATATGTAATTGTAACCTGTTACGTAATTCGCTTATAATATTTTGAACTATTTACATGTTTCACAAATAATTTCAAGGAAATTTAAAAACGAAAATAAATCGTTATAAATTTATTACATTACTTTGGTATCCGCCTTTTGACAACGGATGCTGAAATTATTAATTAATAATGAACTGTGCAAACGGAGGGTGAGGTTTACTTTGTAAGATATTTTTAAATATAAATATTCTACACAATTTAAAGTTTGTTGAATATATTTATAATATTATTTATTATTTATTTAATAATAGTAATAGTTACTATTAATATAGCACATACAATAAAATACACATTCGTTTTAAATCAATGGTTAATTGTTTACAATGGTCGATAAATTTTGTATTATATTTAAGGTGTTTTGTATATATTATATGTAAGGCGGTTTTAAATAATTTGACCATTTAATAGTTTATCGCTAATTTAGTCATCATGGCGGTGCCGCAAACTACTTTGTGGATTAATGTCTTTAATGTATATGTGCTATTTAAAGAAGACAACCATTAACTAATCAGCATATATATATTTTATATATCCTCCACAATGATATAGGGCCTCTTTTTCTTTACAAACAGCTTTAGTGTGGTCAAAGCCAAGACATTTTGTACATTTAATAATCCCGAAGTTCCTGATCAGGAAAATGGAGCAAACTACGAGTATTTAAATCATTGGATTGTGATCAACCCTTGATAAGTATGCCATGTTTCAACTTAATTCGAAATTTTGCAGCAAGCTAATAAAAGCGTGTTAAAAACAGAGCGTGGCAAAACTGGGCACTCATTAAATCGCCACGGCTGCGTCACGTCGTCATCGAAAGTCTTTACGTTCGAGGACGACAAGGACGAGCAAATATCCATGGGCGTGGCGCCGCACATGCATATTTGCAACACCCGTAGGGTGGCAGAAGTGTTGCCACCTTTAATTAAGTGGGCTCCGGCAACCTCACTCACTTGACGAAACGCAGAAGTGTTACACTTTTACTTTACGTTGTCTTCTGTGAAATCGTGGTACTTACCCGGGCTGACCTGCCTATTCGTGCAACAGTGAAAACCATTACGTGACACTGTTTAAACCATGAATACGATATTTTGCGACTTCAGACATTACTTTAGCGAGGCCTGTAGGAGCACGGACATGAACGGCCACCTTCAGTCAACTTCTGGTGAGTGAGGTAACTGGAGCCCACTTTTTAAAGGTTTCAACACAACTTCAAAGTCTCAGGTGTTGTATATGTGCATGGACGGTGGTAGACTTAGCATCAAGTGAAACGTCTGCTATCGTGACAAATTTTCACATAAAAAATAACTATGCCAGAGTGATTCTTGGCACACAAGAAAACCCGATGTATCGACATCCGTTTTCATTTATTAAAAATATTCCTAGCCAACGATTTTTACTAATGTCTAACCTTCTACTTTAATTCTGTACGTATTTCATAAATTATCTCTGTCATTCGGCCAATACTACTATACAGTACAATCCATGATTCAGCGCACTCAGTTTCACTTCCCCTGAAATGAAATATGAACAAATTAAAAAGGCGGGTAATTTATGTGTAAAATTTCCCATCGCCTCTGCCCATTTCCAATTTGTTTCAACTTTAAATTTACACACGGACGTAGATAGGTTTTTTGAAATATTCTCATTACCAGAATCGTAGTAAATAAATCTTCGTTGGTGAATATTTTGCTAAAACAAATTTAAAAAGACTGACGATGGTTTTCGGATGTTTAATTCCGAGAGAATTTTAACTTATTTCTTTCTTTAATTATTTTAATTTTATTACATACAAAAATTTACACATATACCAAGTATTTGATAACGACCGGTTTTATAAAACTATCAATATCAAAATATACAAATGGTTAACGAACGTAAGTCTGAGAGAAATTAGCTGATGACCCTTGAACATCTTAAGAATGGCAAGCACCAGAAGAGGACGGATTAACAGCTAAGATTCTAAAAGAGGGTGGAGAACACCAGTTCTCAACACAAGTACCGACTCAGATCTAGAAGCTCTTTAGTTCCGTCCTTCAGAATGTTGCTGTTCTTCAAGAAAGGTGGATGGAAAGGATAATGCTGTCTTAAAGAACAAGAGACAGATATATCTTCTGAGCTGATATATCTTCTTAACTGTGTTCTGTTTTTATCACCAAAATAAGCCCTTTTTATTGTTAAATTTAATTTTCTAAAATATTTAAATAATAAAAGGATTTCTACTTAAAGTAAATAAGGTGTTTATTTAGTAGAAAATTACTACGAACTTAAAATTTTCCCCTTAAAAGGTTCTTTGAAGTTAAGCGTTTTGTATTTCATTTCTTTAATTTTACTTTTTAATAATCTGAGACCTTTATTCACCGCCTTGATCTTCTTATAATTTTTTTTGTTTAAAATGTTTAAATTTAGATAATTCTAAATCATCAAGTACCACTTTTTATAACATTACAGCTTTAAAATGAACTTAATAAATAATTAAAATTAGTCGTTTTGTTTTAATTTACAGAACATCGCGTTAAGTATCCAAATTCACAATACTTTATCATAAATAAATGTTGTTATAATATTTTTTTAAAATATCAGAACTTAACTAGTTTTAGTATTGAGCGATTTTTCGATTGGCAAAAATTTTCAATATATGCAATCGTAACTGGCAACCACAAGACAGGCTTTGCCTAGTGTGGTGCCAGTGCACAATGTAACCGTAGTTCTGTTTATCAAGAAACGTATTTTGATTTTAATCCATTTTCTATTTACGCCTCCTTTCACAATAAAAAGGTGACAAGACATACTTGCAAATGTTATGTATGTCCACAAAAATAAGAATGACTTTTCAAGATTTAGTAATGTGCATGCTGTAAATACTAGGAACAAGCATAAATTAGTTCAACCCGCAACTAGATTGCGTAGAATAAGTAAATATTTTATGTGACAATACGCTTTTACAACAAAATCCCAGAAAACGTTCAAAATGAATCCTGAATTGTTAAATTAAAAAAAAATGTAAAGGAACGTTTGTGTGTTGGCTATTATAGTATTAGTGATTATTTGAATGATAACACACTCTGGAAATGAACCGATCGCTCCAGGCTTAATCAAAAACTCTACCGGTGGTAGAGTTTTTAACTCTCAATAAGTAACTGTAATGCTTCTATATTGAATAAAGATATTTGACTTTGACTTTTAAAATGTAACTTAACATCTTACTTCTCAAACAATCTGAATATCCAAAATATGCCTAAATTAATTTATTAATATATGATCAGGAGCTGTTACTCACATATTTAGTAAATATATTAACTTAAAAGTTTCTGGGTCGTGTGGTATTCCTCGGGGTAACGCACCCAGACT